TCTATTCCACAGCTGCTTTGGGAATGAGAGAGAATAATCAGTCTGTGTAGCTGCAGCTCTCCAAGCTGTCCTTCAAACCCTGGAGATTTCTTCCTTATCTGTCATGCATGTAGGATTCCCTTGTGTGATTTGATTGAGAAGAGTCTCTGATGCTATGCATACAGTTAAAATGCTGATAATCTGGGGTCCTTCCACTTTTTACTTACTTGAGGATGGTAAAGATGAAAAATTCAATACTTTGGTGAATTAAGGCTAGAATGTAACAAACCTGGACTAGAACTCACCGATTTATATTGTTGGTCCATTGCTCAGCCTTGAGTGGGATGTTTTTATCACACTTTTCCCCTCAAGGCTCAGGTATCTATATGGAAGAGTGAGAAGAAAGATTGTAATAGACAAGGATGGGGGATGATTTTAAGGAAATAGCACTTTCAAGATGAAATGGAACTGATGCACATATGAACTACCAGAGACTATGGCAACTCACATAACACATATACAATCTCAAGCCAGAAAAATTCCCACCACAGAGGAGAACAAGTGGGCCCCTAGCCAAAAAAGCTATTCATAAGTCCTATCTGCTGGGAGAGCGACAGTGTTTTCCGATGAATTGACACTGGGTATATCAGCCATACTCCAGGGCAAGCCTCATGCTCAGAAGCAGCTGATCAACAAATCAGACTCCATGTTGGTGGCTTTTGGGTTGCTTTTTTCTTTTTTTGCTTATGTTTGTTTTAAGGAAGAGAAAGAACATAAAGTTTTATGGGAAGGGGAGGATCTGAGAGGGGATAGAGGATGGGAAAAATATGATAAAAATATACTATATGAAATATTCAAATTCAAATTATATTTTTAAAGTGGGAAATCAAGATAATTTAGTAATTAAAAGTACTTGCCTCATTAACCTCATGACTTGAATTTAATCACTGGAAACCACAAAAATGTGTAAGGAGAGAATTAAGTCCACAAGGTTGTCCTCTGATTTCTATATCCACACATCATAACTACATCTCTCTCCCTCTCTCTCTCCCTCCCTCTCTCTCCCTCCCTCTCACCAAGCATCCAACCAACTAACTAAAACAGTTTAAGTGACAAAACCTATGATGTGGGTATAGCATGGGGGCTTCAGAGCAGGGGTTCCTCTGGTGAATTACATGTGCTTCCAAATTCCACACTGATGATACATATTAATCTGTCCTGCCTGATTACATCAGTGGTTTTATTGTATTACATTCTCAACCTTATCAAAAATATGCACAAAATTTATCTGTTTAGAAATCAGCCTCTCGTCAAAAGAATTTATCCTACTGGGAGCATGGAATTTGAATGTTACAACTTTTCAGATCAAACCAGTCCAATTCTGTCCATATACAAATGAGGAAAATGGAGTTCTAGAAATGTCCCATGATGGGCTAGAGAGATGGCTCAGCCATTAAAGGCTAGGCTTACAACCAAAAATATAAGAAATGTCCCATGATATCATGAGGCTATCAGTATTTCAGTCAGCCCTGAAAACCAGATCCATTGGTTCCTGTGCAGCCCCTGACACAGTAGATGGTCTAGTATGGGTTGTCAAATTAAGGGGCTTCTAGCATTATATCAGACTACTTTGGCCCAGTCACAGCTGTACACAGCACATATATTGTACAAGAAGCTCAGCAGCTCAAAGCAAATTTACTGGCTTTACGGTCTAAACATTTAAAATACCACTAGGAACTTAACCCTCTGTATTACATTATTATCAGTTTTCCTTCAAGGTACTTCTAGCTGTTATTTAATTTTTTGTTCATTTGTTTAGTGTCTTTGCCCTCCATGAAAAAAATACAAGTTCCATGAGAGCAATGATGAGCTACATTTTACTTAACACTTTTATTTCTTGACTCTAAGACAACATAGATAGTATACACCAAAGCCAAATGAAATAATGAGTGAATAATGAATCTCCCTACCCTGGAAATGTTTCTCTTACTAAACTGAAAATCTCATATCACACCATGTAATCACAATTCTATTTTTCTTTAAAAACTAGGAGCTTCCTTGGGAGCAATGAATGTGTCTTGAAGTATTGAAAATACTTAGCTTATGCCTTATTAATACAAAGATAACAGTTTTGGTCAGGTGAAAATTAACTTATGTGGACATTAATTAAACCTAATCAGGCTGGGGATATAGCTCAGTGATAAAGACTTTGCCTATCATATACAAAATCTTGATTTTAATTTACAGCACCACAGAATACATTGCAAACACACACACACACACACACACACACACACACACACACACACACACACTGTATGTGGGTATACTATGTATATAATATATATTATTGTCTGTAATATATTATAAAGCCTAATGCCCTGAACATATGATATTCAGAGATATATGCCATATACTGTCAAATGTGCACATTACAGTTTACTCAACTAATTGATTAATAGATTAATTGCTAAAACTCCATAAAACTAATAATTTCTAGGGGAAATAATTCTAGGAAGCCATGAGCCATCATAAAGCCTGGCACTTTTCAAGTCTCCTTAGTATCACATAGGTAATCTAGATGCTACTCATGATACTGTAAGACTTCTTGATGTTTTATTTCTTTGAATATAGGCTCACTATCTCTTTAAGGTGCTGCTGAATGTAGCCATTGTAAATAATGTAGTTAAAACAACAACAAAAAAATTACAGTTAACACTTTTTGAAAATACCTAATGTTTTCATAAGAATACAAAAAAATCACTCTTAATTTGATTCTGTTACCTTCTCCATTTCTCTGCTAATTAAATCAAAGAAATGTCTTCTTTATGGAACAACTGTTTTTATTGAGGACACAGTGCAAGGAGAAGTCATGCAAGTGAGAGCGAGCTTTCTCTAGGCACATTATGTGAAGTTCACTGACTCCTAACTTCAAAAACTAAAAGAAGGCCAAAGTGCAAGGCAACCACTTAGGACTGTAAGTATCGCAGCATGTAATAAAAGTCACATAGCTGCTGTCTATTGGATTTGAGAAGGGCATTCTGAGGCCCACTCAAGGCTGAGTGCCTAAGTGTATCACAGGCAATGCTTTCAACCTATCTGTACCTTTTAAGAACATTTTTGCAGAGCAGGTGACATCTTTGGAAAACACAAACACACACACACACACACACACACACACACACACACACACACTTTTCCATTTGGCTTCACTTTTAAAATACTACAAAACATATTTTACAAAATAACATCACAGAGACTCTTTCTCAGCAGCTGTTGAAAATGAGAGGGCTAGTGAAGCAAGTCTTTGGTCTTCAACCACATTCCAAGTAGGAAAAAACAGACATAAGTGTAGACACACAAAGGACACAATTAAAACTCACCAGCACAATTCTCCCACAGACTCAAATATATGAATGTCATTTTTGCTGGGTATGTTTTGGAACATTGTAGAACATTTAGGAGGTAAAGCCTAACTTAAGGAAGTGGATTGCTGGTTGTGAGTGGGGTGATATGGAGATTTTACATCCCAGCCCCACTTCCTGTCCTTCTCTTCTTCCTTCCTAGTCTGCTGAGATGTGAGACAGCAGTTGCCCTGGTGCTTCTGCAGCTGCAAAGCCACCTGGTGCCACTCATTACCTGGTGCTTTCTTTCCAATACATATGCTCACACCTATGCTCACACCATGAGCCAAAATAAACCTCTTGTCACTTAAGTTGCTCTTTGTCAGATATTTGGTCACGGTAACATGAAATTAACAGACATCTAGCAAAGCACCACCTCCTACAAGTTCATGTCCCCCAAAGCATGATGGCCTCGCATTGAGCCCCACCTCTTAAAGTTTCCACTGCCTTCCCTTAGTCCTAAGCAGGGGGTGAACCATCAGCACATGGGCCTTTGAATGACATTTCAGATCCAAGCTCCAGCAGATCCTCTTATTAAATTTTTAACTCAAATTTTGCCTAGTAAACACATAACTAGAGCTATGGGGAAGGGTGGCCTAGCCAAGCACTCCTCCTTCACCCAGCAAAATACTGAATAATACTTAAAACACAGATTAAAGAAAAGAAAAGACAAAAAGGGCAGTAGTCAATCTATTTCACAGTAATACAACTCCAGTCATTCCCAGGGCACCAGGGCTTCCTGCGAAGGTCTACAAAGAACACAGCTGCTCTCACATCAAGGGTCAGCTAGCATCTGGCAGTAACAGTGTGCTTATAATCACACTTGGGGGAAATTTCTAAAGTATTTGAAATCCTATGTTGCTATCTTGGGACAAGTGAAAATTTGAATTATTATTAAAATGCCCTATATTTAGCTATAACTCAGGGAGGCCTTTATAAATTCAGAATCTAGAGAGTGAGCCACTATGTAATATATATCCTTTATAATACATAAAAGTGAAAATGACCATCAAATACAAGTGTATTGGGAACTACAACCCATATGATTGAGTTCAGCTTGCATTTTAACAAAATTTATTACCTGTAAGGTACATACAGAATATTATACCTAGCACTTGAGGACTAAATAGTTTCAAACATAGTTGTTCTATATGTTGAACATGATACATTTCTTAATATACATTTGCTTACATTTATATGTCAGAATATCCCCTCTTACCTTCTCAGATTAGATGAATTACATTTCTAGTAATTCTAGAAATGGCAAGTCTAGGCACTCAACTCATTGCCATCCCCTAAATCAGTCGCTTTAAAGCCTGTAAGTTTCAAACAAAACTGTGGTCAAGCATTTATGCACTTTGCCGTAAAGCAAAAGAAATGGAGTCACCTTTGAGTCAGAGGCTGCCAGCTCAGTGTGATGTATAAATTTCAAGTTATTGATTTTAAGTTTAACTACCTACATTCCCCTAGTAACCCACAACATAAGAAATGACATCTGACATCCAGGGGCAAGACCAAAGAAATAGAACACTACAACAATCTTACATCCGTGATTGGGGTGAATGGACTGAGGCACCTCCACAGCCTCAAGGGCACAGATACATCAAAACATGTCAGTCCAGTATCTAATCCTTAACCAAACTCTGAATCATCAGAAGGAGGCAAGCCTCTTCAGCTAATCTTTACCTAACACGGCACTATACTCAGGGTTTCATCTTTAGTTAATTTTTTTCTGTTGTGAAAATTCCCTCCCATGGGGGAGATAAAAACAACATTTACTCCCTCTTCATTAGGTCCTAATCACAAACCAGAATTCACTCTGGACAATCAAAGAGTTTATTAGGCTGAGGTGAAATGTATTCACCCAATATGTATGATGAATTCCCTTTAGTTACATGGACTAACTTGGACCATCATACATGCTCTAGCCCCTCCTAAAGATCCTCCCAGAAGGCCATAGTTAATTAAAGTACAATTG